CCAACAGCAGTTTGCTCAAGTGTCCTGTGTTTGCTTTTTCTGGAGGTTTCCCTGAATCCTTTGGGGATAGAGGAGGGAGCATGGTTCCCAGAAGGGGTGGTAGTTAGAATATCTGAACTTCTCTAACTAACAGGACAAGTTCTTGTGTGTCAATATGACTGTCCCAGTGGGGCAGACTGTATTATTAGGAGCATTTAACAGGTCATTGATTATGACAGCAATAAGCTTTGTGGGGGGCAATTGTTGAAATGAAATGACTTTTTTTTTTAACCCAGCAGAGGATTTTTTGTTGTTGTTGTTGTTCTCTTTTTTTTTAAAGATTAGATTTTTCTGATATCATGTCAAGACCTTGGCAGAAATGTGTTGTTGATGTGAAGTCAATGTATGATGGTTATAAGATGATTCTGTGACTGGTAATATGGCTCAGTAGATAATGGTGTTTGCAGCCATATCTGAGAACCTGAGTTTAATCTCTGGGACCTGCCTTCAAGAAGGACAGAACAAACTCCCTCAGGATTTACACACGCAGTATGACTTTCATGTGTGAGTATGAGTGTGTGTGTGTGTGTGTGTGTGTAGGCACACATGTCCTAATTTGTGACTGCACACTTGCACTCACATACAATAAATAAATATAATTTTAAAAATTAAAAGGCTGATATCTGGAATTAATTATGCAACAGAAACTTAAGCATCAGTGGGATATGGAAAGAAAATTTGTTTTTGGAATGCTTTTTTCTCCTAAAAGGTATTAAGCTTTGGGAGCAATCAGTTAAATTAGAACAGTAATTGTGGTCTATGTAAAAAAAAAATTACAAAGAAATTAGTTTTCTTCCCCTGAGCAGCAAAAGACAATAATTGGTTCAGAATGATAGAGGGAGAGAAGGCATATTGAATCAGATAATAGAGGCGACCACAATGTAATGATGAACAATGGTTGTAGAGTTACTGAGGATGACCAGAACGCATGTTTTGTTGTGTCTTGTATGAAGCTACCTATTTCTACAATCAGTGGCTGACACACAGCGTATAGCAGAGGCTGCTCACTTCTGAAACCCAGCAACCGAGCAACTCCCACAATCATTCAGAGTTAGGATTCTTTAAGTAACACACTCCTAGTATTTGACTACAAGTGCCATTTTCATTGAGTAACATGATGCAAGTAACATTGAGTAACATGATACATGATAAAAGTATTGAAGTCTTTTGGTTAGCTGGGTTTCTTTCTCACAGTTCCCCTAAGATCTTTCCCATAGAGAGTCATGAGTGTTTCTCTGATGTCATTTCCAAAAGACCAGATATCTGGTATTCAAATTACACAGAAGCTGCCCTGGGGAGTCTTTTGAAAGCACCAGTTTTACTATAGTCCTCCATTGGGGAATAAAAGAATAGAATCCAGGATTGGAAGCAACCCCTAAGTAAGCCCCTCTTAGGAACTCAGAGGGAGGTTGTTACTTCTCCAGGAGAAAGAAGGCCAGTAGCATGGCAGGTATCTTAGTCAGTGTTCTACTGCTGTCAAGAGACACCATGACCATGACAACTCTTATAAAGGGAAACATTTTATTGGGGCTGGCTTACAGTTCAGAGGTTTAGTTATTGTCATCATGGTGAGAGGCATGGCAGTGTGTGGGTACATATGGAGCTGGAGAGGTAGTTGAAAGCAGAAGGAGATAGCGAACCATTAGGCCTGGCTTGAGTTTCTGAGCCTTCAAAGCACACCCCACGTCAAGTGACACACCTCCTCCAACGCAGCCACACCTACTCCAACAAAGCCACCCCTCCTAATGAACTATGGGTCTATGGGAAAGCATTTTCATTCAAACCACCACAGCAGGAGACAACCTTAGGTTGAGAGTTTTAGTTTTTCTTTTCTTTTCTCATACTGGGGAATCAAACCCAGGATATCCTGCATGCTAGGCGGGCACTCTACCATTGAACTACAAGTCCAGCCCTCTTTTTGTTGTTTTTTGAGACAAGATTTCTCTATGTAGCTCTGTCTATTCTGAGACTCTACAGACCAGGCTGGTCTCAAACTCAGAAAGCTCCACCTGCTTTTGCCTCATGAGTGCTGGGATCAAAGGCGTGCACCACTGTCACCAGGTTGAGAGTTTTAGAATGCCCTTGGTTCTTATTACCTTTGCTGATGTTTGTAGATGATGATGATGACAAAGAAGTTTCTATGTAACAGAGAAAACTATGTTGTTCTTTAACAGTCATACCAGGGAAGGATGTGTTTCTTTGGCTGAATAGGAGACTTGGGGCTTCCTGAATTGGAAAGATAAAAGCAAGCTACTCCTCACCCCCTATTGTTACAGCCAGAGAGCTCCAATGAAGACAAGGCCTTATGCAATCTGGATATAAATGTAGACTGGAATAACTCCATAGACTTTTAGGGGATGGATGCTCAGAGGATCTCAAGGCTTTGACTGTCCATGGTCTGCTCTTATGGCTGTATGAGGTTGGTGTTGTCATAGTCAGAGTGGCATGGGGGTATTTTTTTCAATCCTGTAAATTACCCCACCAATCCTGGCTTAATGTCACTGCTAACTGACCATGGCTGTTGTGGGAGTATCCAGAATCAATTTTTGTCAAATGTAACTTTTAGTGTAGCTCTTTCTATAATAGCAAATTTGCTCATGGTTATTCAGTTCATTTGCTGTTTTATAGAGGTTTTAGGGTGTCTAGAACATCCCCTTTCCTCCTCCTGTCATGCCTTATCCTCCACCCTTTTCTATTATCTTACTGTTTAGCCCAGGTTGGCCTCAAATTATTCTGGTTTAGCCTTCAAGGTCTAGGATTAGATATAGGGCCCTTAACCTAAACGATCTCATTTCTAACCATTCTGAATTATTGGATTCATTCTAATTCATATACTTTACATCAGCATAAATAACCTTTCTCTTTTCTCAACTGGCAGGTTTACCTGAGGCCAATTTATTCAGCCATTCAAACATTTTATTTCTAGAGGAAGTTGACATTCTAAGAGTAAATTCAAGTCAGTGACAATATAATCTTAGCAATTTCTAGTTTTTCTTTTTACTTATGAGCCAGTGACACCCAAAAATTAAGTCAGGAGCATCAGAGGAGATACTAGAAGTCTATAGAGGGTATGGTGATTTCCTAATAGAGGAACCAGATTCTGGACATCTTTTCTAAGCAGGAGGGTGCATGGTCACTGACTTTAGATTGTTATAGTAACGCATGGAGGAAAGCCAAGAAGGCTGCATAGGGTGGGTGACTGAGGTCCCCCCATTTAATAAAAGCAGCAGGGAAATTGCTAAGTTTGGTTGGGGTTCCCAAAGCTAACTCAGCTGAGTTGGGTCAAGGTTTCTTTTTATTTATTTATTTATTTATTCTTTTTTTTTAAATTTAGATAAGAAACAAGGTTGCTTCACAAGTCAGTTCCAGGTCCCTCTCCCTTTCCCTCCCCTCCTCCCGTGCCCTCCCCCCATCCCCCCCCCCGTTATCCCCTCGTTCCCCCAGGGAGGGTGAGGCCCTCCATGGGGGTGTCCATAGTCTGTCATTTCATATAGGGCAGGGCCTAGACCCTTCCCCAAGAGTTCAGGGTGAGAGTGTACCTCACATTGTTCTATGGGAGTCCAAAGTCCGTGTGTATACTTGGGATGGGTACTGATCTGCTGCCCAGGGCTCAATAGATTACCTAGGCCTCCTCACTGACACCCAGATTCAGGGGGTCTTGATCAGTCCCATGCTGGATTCCCAGGCTGATGCCTGGGATTCAAGAGTTAACCTTTGTCTGGTCAGCTATTTCTGGGGGTTAAACCAGCCCAGTCTTAATCCCTTTGATCATCAGTCCTCCCTCTCTGATACTGGCTTTCTTGAGTTCAGCTCAGTACTTAACCAGCCACTAAATGTAGTTTCTGTTTCCCAGACTGTCTGGCCATAGGATTGTAGGCTGGCACTCCCCAGATCTATGTCTAAAATCCATATATGAGAGAGTACATGCCATGTTTCTCTTTTTGTGACTGGGTTACCTCACTCAGGATGGTTTCTTCTAGTGTCATCCATTTGCCTGCGAATCTCATGATTCCATTATTTTTTTCTGCTGAATAGTACTCCATTGTGTAGATGTACCACATTTTCTCTATCCACTCTTCGGGTGAGGGACATCTAGGTTGCTTCCAAGTTCTGGCTATTACAAATAAAGCTGCTATGAACATAGTGGAACAGACATCTTTGTTGTATGAATGGGCATCTTTTGGGTATATGCCTAAGAGGGTCAAGGTTTCTAAAAGTCCTGTTGCAGCAAGATGCGACTCTTAGCCAAGACATGGGACCACTAGACCCAAGGAAAGACCAAAATACATAACAGGTCTCTGATGTTCCCCCTGTGGTTTAGTTGATACCTTGCTGACTTGTTCAGAATTTGCATGGTTGAAAAGAAAAGTGATGTTGTGGGCCTAGACTCTTAAAAGCTGTTACAATAAGTTTATTGTTTAAGAATAAACAGGCTTCTATTAATTTTTTGAGTATTTAATTTTAGTTATCTACTCTTGAAGGATTTTATAAACATATATAATGTATTTTGATCATATCCACTCCACACTCCTCCCCAGTTCCTCCCAGAAGCCCCTCACATCCCCCCCAGCTTCATACCCTTTTTTTTCTCTGCAGCCCAGTAAGTCCAATTAGCGCGGCCTGCACATTCAAGCAAGGCCATCCTCTGGGGCCTAAGGGAAAACCGAGACCTCCTCCTCCAGTCCATCAACTACCAATAGCTCTTGGCGAGGGGGTGGGGCCTTGCGATTTCTTTCTCCACCCAATAAGCACACTTTATTTAAAACCTAAGGCAAAAGTATAGCCCTCACAATATATGTTTATTAACGTATTTTACTTAAATATAGTCAACTTTTATCTTTATTTATCAGTTTTTATGATGAAGTTGAACAGACAAAAGAATGCTCATATTAGTTTTAAATTTATCAAAATTCAAAGGTTACTTAGAAATCTGACTATCCACATTGTCTTTCTTGTCATAGGATGAAGGAGACCATCTGTTAGAGGCCACTTGTAGCAACATGAAGAAAGTTTGAGCCCCAAAAGACATATGAGGGCCTTCTTATTCTGGTTCTGGGGCCTGGATTTGGGAAAATAAGGGTCGAGCAATTGTTCAACAGACAAGATGTAAGTCCTATCTATCTAAAGTTAAGAAATAATTATTGCCAACACTATAAAACCACAATTAACAATAGTTGCTAGGAACTTAACTTTGAGTTTTGGGAAAGCAAGGAATCTTTCTGAAAACAGCTTAAAGGATATTAAAGAAGACAAAAATAATGATTTTATTGACAAAAATTACTCATGGGCATAAAATAATTATTTTACATAAAGACTCAATTCTAACTTTACTTGTTCTGTATATTATTTTTATAACAATCTACAACAGATCTTTTATTAATATACCTTTATGTTTACATATCTAGATGGGTATGTATATTCAAATAGCTGGTGTTTTAAAATTTTTTGGCACATGTATACTACCCTACCAGCCACCTGAGATAGAGAGATGCTAACCTCATCATTACTCAGAGAAGCTTCTCTTTTCAGTAAAAACAGGGATCCATGGATATTCGAGGTGCTGACACTAAGTGACATCTGAGCGCTCAGCCCCAAATAGGATATTGGAGCATCGGCCTGAATCTGGGAGGGGAGTTAGGGAGTGGAGGGAACACAGGGGATGGGGCAATGTAAGAATAGGAAGAAAAGGGGAAGGGCTACAAAATAACTATCTTCTGGGTATGACAAAGCCACTGGAAACATTGGCTCACAGCAGCTGTGAATGGGTGCATGAGGCCTATATGAGACTGGGTTTGTCAACAGCCAGTCACAGATTCTACAGGGGCTCATACCTCTCTCCGCCAAACAACTGGCTACTGATGGATTTTAGAGGTGAGGTAGTCTGTTGTTTTCAGTTGTGAAGCCACCAGGCTTCGATGGATCATTTCAAGCCAGTGGTCACAAGAAGATCTTGGTTAAAATCATTGGTTCACAAACCAGAAGACAAGATGTGACTATAGGTAGGGCAATTGTGGGGGTGATGTATATGTTCTGTGGGGACTTGAGAAGAGAGTATGTGATGCTCCTGTTGAATGAACTGTTCTGTTGATGCCAATTCCATCGGCCGGTGTAGATGCTTTTAGTTTCTCTGTGTTTTTTGTGTTTGCCTATTTGCTCTCTATTAGTGGTTGGGGGCGTGTTTTAAGGTCACTAATGTACCTGTGGCTTTGCCTCCCCAATTCTGTCAGTTCTGCTTCACTTATTCATAGCTCTGTTGCTTGGTGCATCCCATTAGAACTTGGGGTCTTCATAGTGGAGAAGTTACTTTATCAATAGAGAATATTCCTTTACTTTATGTTTTCTGGAATTTTCTTTGCTCGTAAATCTGGAGCAATTTCTGACTTGGTTTGATTTGAATAACTTACTTTTGTTTCCTTTTTCTCTCTTCCTGTCAACATTGCTATCTGAGGTGAGTTTCTTGAGGGCAGTATCTAGATATGTCTTTTGTTTTCACATTTCAATATTCCAATCCATCTTTTTTATTTGTATATTTAGGCCATTGATATTTAGTGTACTATCAATATATTGGGATTGTAATTCCCTGATTTCTCTGTTTGTATTACTTATTTTCTTTTCATTAGTTTCATATTGGTTACTTGATACGTGAACTCTTTAAATTTTTATTTAATTTATCTTTAGTGTTTTAGGATATGTTTTTGTATAGATTTTTTTAGTTTATGCTATTACATCATGTAAATATTCTTATCACAACCTCTTAGCACAGTCTGTCAGTTCAAATGGGGTATATAATCTTAACCTCCTTCATATATCTTTATTTCCCCTCATGCAGATATAGTAGTCAATGACTCTTCCACATCCTCTTAAATCCATATCAGACAGTATTATAATTTTTATTCAAGCATCAAATATAACTTGAACTTGAAAAAGGGAAGGGAAGCTGCTGACCTTGCATTCTTTTGCTCATCATGCTCTTTCCTTTCTTCTAATATTTTAAGGCTACTTTTTTATTTATCACTTCCTGCTTGGGGGACTTTATTTGGCTATTCTTTCAAAAACTGTTTTTATTTTATGGCCTGGAGGTTTAGCTTGCATGCTGGTAGGTCCATCATGAATATGCCCGATGCCTGTAGAGGTCAGAAGAGGGTGCCAGAGGAATTTGCTTCTCTCCAAGTGAGAGTGACTGCTGCAAATGTTAGATCAGTGATCAGGAAAAACAGTGGAATTGAACAAAGTAATTTTTGTGTTTATCTTTTTTAATCCCAATATAGAGAGAAAGCTTATGTCCTAGCCTCTCTCCAACTCCCTATCAGAAATGGAACCAACAGGGGACTTCAGCAATAATAGTGGCAGGAACTGTACAATAGACAGCTTCAAGAAAGAATTTTATCCCATCATATACCTGATCATATTCGTCTGGGGAGCCCTGGGAAATGGCTTTTCCATATATGTCTTCCTACAGACTTACAAGAAGTCCACATCTGTGAATGTTTTCATGCTCAATCTGGCCATTTCTGATTTCCTGTTCATAAGCACCCTGCCTTTCAGAGCTGACTATTATTTCAGAGAGTCCAACTGGATATTTGGGGATATAGCCTGCAGAATTATGTCTTATTCCTTATATGTCAACATGTACACTAGCATTTATTTCCTAACCGTGCTGAGTGTTGTGCGTTTCCTGGCCACTGTCCACCCTTTCCAACTGCTCCATGTCACCAGCGTCAAGAGCGCCTGGATCCTCTGTGGGATCATATGGGTTTTCATCATGGCTTCCTCAGCAATGCTTCTGAACAATGGCTATGAGAAGAAGAACAACATTATATTGTGCCTGGAGCTGAATCCCCAAAAGTTAGATACGCTACGGATCATGAACCACATTGCTTTAGTGGTAGGCTTCCTACTTCCATTTGTCACACTTACCATCTGCTACCTCTTGATCATCCGGGCCTTGTTGAAGGTGGAGATTCCAGAGTCGGGTCTACGGGCTTCTCACAGGAAGGCGTTGATCACCATCGTCATTGCCATGATCATCTTCCTCCTCTGTTTTCTGCCTTACCACGCACTGCGGACCTTCCACTTGGTCACATGGAATGCAGATTCATGTAGGGATGAGTTACATAAGGCCATGGTCATCACACTGGCCTTGGCTGCAACCAATAGCTGCTTCAATCCCTTCCTCTACTACTTTGCTGGGGAGAATTTCAAAGATCGATTAAGGGATGCGTTCAGTAAAGATTGTCTACAGAGATCAAAGGCAAAGTGTGCCCTTCGCTTTTGTGTATAGCTGAAGAACAGAATCAAGAGTTCAGGGAGCTGCCATGCAGGTGTGATGGACACCATGAGTCTTGGTGCCCACCTCCATTCACTCATGGTCTCTAGATTACTTTGTATTTGCATCATAACCAACGAGTCTTGGGTTCCCAACATTTAATTGACCACAACTTTGCTAATAAAGCTTATTTCAGAAATTTCATTAGGTGTATTTTTAGTAGTTGGGACTAAATCAGAAACGTAGAAAAAGTTTTCTACTGGAATATCGCATGCTGAAATGTAACATTGGGAAAAATTGTCCAACACAGTAAGTCATGCTTTGCTTCAGATCCTATGCTAGATCTCCGGCCCAGGCAGTCTAAATTCCTAACTGTAAGGCATCCTCAAGCACCCCAACTTCTCCAGATCCTTTCTTCATTAAAGCCCTTGGGACACAGCCAAACCATCGTGCAGCTTGGAGAACATCCTAAGAACTCAGGAGCGGGCTTTGGTTTGAAGAGGAAGACTGCTCTGGAGCAAAGCAAGTTCAGACAATATTGGCGAGAGGAAAAGGAGAAGGACTCAGACAAAAGAGAGCGAACGATACTGAGAGGTAAAGAGTAATTTCATTTTTGCTCCAAGAGAGGGGTTCTAGCAACAAAATGGAAGAATGTGCCATTTGTTTGTTTCTTGCAGGGATTAGGAAGGTCACAGAGTTGGGGGAGGGTTGGGATTACTTCCCTAGGGGATACAGGAATCAGAATTGTATGCAGAATAGGGAGGAGGTGGAATCATGGATTTGCATCTCAATTTTACTTGAGACTTAGGTTTGGATTGACATCATTATAGTCATTGCTCCCTCCTATTAACCCACTGGGATGACAATTAAAATAAGGAGTTGGTGCTATGGTTTGATTTGGGCCTTTGAGAGAAGTGTTGGGTAGAAAATGAGAAGTGGTCTTAAAAAAATGTTGATATTAGAAAAAGACCCTTTCTATCCACAGAAACTCGCTGCAGACTCTACTAGTTATTCACATGACCATTGTGTTGGCCACGACAGTCAAGTGCTGAGAAGCCTGAACAGGTGCTGTACAACCACATAACCCTCACAAGAAAGTACAGAGACTTCACAGATGAAGAAATGAAAGCTCAGAGAAATTAAGAAGTGGGCCCAAGTCTACACAACGAATCAGAGCTTTAAACAGAAATGTTGACGGGATGCACTCCTGACAACCACCCTTGGGAACCTCCAGAAACACTGTTCTAAAGTCTGGATGAAAACTCCCTCTCATGTCAGGCACATACACATGGCTTTCTCATCCTTACAAGAAAACCACAGTTTGGGGGCTGGAAAGATGGCTTGGGGGATAAGAGCACTTGTTGCTCTTGCAGAGGACCCCAGGTTTGGTTCCCAGCACCGACATAGAGACTCACAGTCATCTGTAACTCTAGTCACACTGGATTTTATGCCTTCTTGTGGCCTCTGTGGGCATGCACACAGTGCACAGACATACGTGCAGACAAAATGTTCACACATGTAAAAATTCTTAAAGACAACAACAAAACCAAAAAACGAAGCCAAGGTTATCTCCTGGCAGTTGTTGACTCCTGACACAGTTCAGGGTGGAAGGAAGGTTGTATTCTAAAGTTGGAGGGCACAACAGGTAGTGTTTATATAAAACGAGGACTCCCTGACCTTCCTTTATTTAGTTTCCAGAATAATAACAGACAGATGTCAGAGGAAGGCCCTGGAACATCTGCCTACAGGAAAACTCCTCTATCCCGGAGAAATAACTGGGGAAGATAACTGGGACTCCTCCAACCCCAAATCTGGGCATCTGCTCTATCATTTACCTGACAGTGAAGACTACAATATGATACATCCGCTGCATTCCCAGAAAGCATCTAGCCAAGTTGATCAGAGTCCCACTCTTGACTATGAACAAGTCAATGACCACACTTCCAATGGAAAACCCCTAAGATGGAAGGCAACGACAAGAAAGAGCACAGAGTGGGGCATCGTCAGCAGGAAAGGGCTCAGCATTTTATTACTCTTACACTTGGATCAGAAAGCACTGGCGTGTTGCTCCCACACGAGAGGAGACAGGCAACCAAGAAAACGGGAATCTGGCAAAAGTGAAGACAACTCCCAGGAAGGTTAGAGAGCAGTTCATACAGGTAGGGCCAGGGGGAGCACACACGGAGAGGGAGAGCTTTGGACAAACACATAGATAAACAGCCCAGTGAAGTCATTACTACACTAGAGAAGAAGAGTGTTAGCTAAGAGCAATAACTTGCACACACTACGTAGTTGAATATTTACACAGAGAATGACACACGGGTAGAAACACTATGATAGAATCTTTCTCAGGAAATGAGTGGGGGTGGATATGCACATAAGGGAAAGAGGTACAGAAGCCTGGTTTTCCATTTTCCATCAGAGAGAATTCATGTTTACCAAAGCTGGGAGCAATAAACAGCCACACAGCATGTGACAGGAAGTAAATGCTGGGAGAAGACACAAAAAGAACCATAAGAGGTTGTCTCCAGAGAGACATTGAGGGTGGGATGTTTGCTTTTAGCAATTGTCAACCTGAATAATTTGTGAATGTGTACTGCTGAAATAAAATGAAAATTAAGACGAAATTAAATGGAAACCTTCAAATCCGTTTCCTCTTTTTACAGGAACAAGAATAATGATAATAGAAAGGCTACCAGGGAAAAGCCTCTTACCAGGATAGAATGTCACTGAGGCAGAGATGAAAATAGAAGTCTGTTTGCCAAAGTGAAGGTCAGGAGCTCTGAGGTTTTAGATACGGTTCTTTTTGTTTGAGAGATTAGGTGTCTCTTCAAAGAAACATACAAAATCTTCAAGTAGGAGAAAGGATTTTTTTGTTGTTGTGCAAATTTTTTTTCAGTGGGGTCCAGGACTGAATGACATTGTCTTTTATAACTGTGTTGAGTAACAAAAACTCTAGATTTGATCACGGTTTGTTCTCAGTCACAGAGGATATCAAACTAGTTAGGAGAGGAGCCAGGCAGATATGACCGATGTCATCATTTTCTGTCCAGAATTCACTTTTCTACCTAGAGAAACATTTGGAGACAGAGGCCCAGTCAGAGGACGGGAGCCCCCAGAACTTGGGGATGAGAGATCCTCACTCTGACACTCCAGCCTACATGGAGAAAAGCTAATGGAAGTCACATAGGAAAACACACCAAGAAAGAACGTGCTACAATGCTGATAGGAATTTAACATTCTACTATCAAAGTAGCGTGAACATAAGTATCTACAGAGAGCCGAAAAGAAACAGTCCTGGAATAAGCTGCTTGCCAAGGGGAGATGGAGAGGTCTCTGGCATGTCAGCTATGCGATGTCTGTGAGGAGCTAGGAGCTCAGCTTGGGGGCCACCAGCTCTTGCTCTTGTGTCTTTGCATTCCCAGTGTGGGTAGACACAGCAAGACATACTGGCCATAAAGACAGCCTGCAGCATGGGTCAGTGCACCACTGTGAGCTGCTGTCTGACGACCAGGGAGGTGTCCCTGATGAGCTGACTCGTAGAGTACCTCACTCCTTTGTATAACCTCAGGTTAGCCTGTTATATAGGCCTGTCACTGGGGCACCAAGGATTAGTTTGAATGTCCTCACTGGCTCATCATCTGCTGTAAATTAATGTTCGTAAAATCGACTATGATGCTATGGAACATTTTGACTAGAAGCTTCCATCCATTCTTTATTGACAACACATTTCACACAAATAAAGACATGAGCTAAAGGAGAATAAAATGGTGGTCTCTGTTCTTAACTCTTACTGTGAGAACTAAACTTTTATGAGTTCTGTCAAGGTCCTTCTATGACCATAGAGATCATTAATCTCAATTTCATGTTATTCTTGGTTTTATTTATAATTTTACCACATGTATGCCCATGTAAAATACTATTTTGTTTGGATGTTTGTGTACTTTGTTTTGGAAAATGGAATGATACAGTAATTTTTTCCCTCACATTTAGTTATTCTTTTGTTTGAGGTCTAATCACAATGTTGCCTCTTGGATCACTAAGACAATTTAATTTTTCATACGCTTGTTAATGAGGACTTAAGGGTTGTTTTTTTTGTTGTTGTTACTGTCTTGTTTTGGCAAGGTCTCATTCAGCCTGTGTTGGCCTTGAGTTCATTCTGTAGCCAAGGATAACTTTAACTCCTGATCCTCTTGTTTTCTTCTCCAAAGTGCTAGATTACAGGCAGGCACCGACATGCCCAGAGTTTATGCATGCTAACTAAACACTCTACCGGCTGAACTGTATCCCCAGCAGTAGTGGCATCTTGTTCCACCAGCAGGTTTTTGGTGGTGGCCACATCCTGGGGGTGTGACTTCAGGTGTGCAGATGTGGCCCTTATAAGGAAGAGGGGGCCTGGCCTTATGGCACATCTGCACACTTGAAGTCACACCCCTAGGATGTGGCCACCATTGAAATTCCACTGGCAGAACAAGATACCACCACACCCAACTCTGAGTCTGGCAGCATTTTGATCTAAGGAATAGCACACTCACATGCCTCTCAATACACATTTAATAAAAATATTCTCCAGAGCCCACACTTAGGAATATGCTCATGATAACATCTTTGAGTATGACTCAGCTCTTTTCCAAACTGGTTTTACCAACTCAAACCCCATGCCAACAGTATATGTGAACTCCATGAGTCACCTTCCTAGAAGGCAACTTCCTTAGGAAGGAATGAAGGTTCACTGGGGCAATCTTCTGCTCATGGCAAAGGAACGTTGGTAGCAGGTGGACACCTGAAATGCAAGGAGAAAAAGTACATAAAGATACATGCACACACAGTACCCAAGTCTAGAACTGCGGCTGGGCGGCTGGGTTAACTATTGGCTGCTATTTGTCACTGCCTAAAAGTTAGCTACCCAACTGGTGTTCCTGAGGTAGCAACACGTATTAATGTGCTGCACTTTCCTAACAAAATGTGTGGATTTTCATATAATACAAGAACTTGAAATTTTTACAGGTGAGGAAACTGAAGAACCAGAGAGATATTAATGCGAAGTTCCTTGTTCAGTTGTATTTACCAATGATAGAACCACTACTGAAATCTAGTTAGTACACTCTCAGTGTTCATGGTCTCAATAATCACACTTGATTCCTCTATCTCTCCTTCTCCTCTCTCTCTCTCTCTCTCTCTCTCTCTCTCTCTCTCTCTCTC